CGGCTGTGCAATAATGACAAATGAGATTGTGACTTTTCTACTGTTGGAAGAACTTAGGATTTCCTTCTTCTTTTTTTGGGTTAATGGACTTTGGATTTCTTCTTTGCTACGAAAATGAATATAACAGATGTTAAGGTTGTCCCAATTTAATATCTTATTTTCTTTCCTTCATTAGAAGAACTGACATGTAGCATTTAACACCCAAACTACAGATTTGTTGAGGATGACTCCTATTATGAATATGAGTACATTGTAACGAGTGTTATACGGAGAATATAATGTCAGATTTAATTGCTGTAGTTATATATTTGATTGAGGAGATTAATATTTCTCGTGATATAAGAGATAATTTTATTTTTTTTATTTTTATTTTTTACATATACATAAAAGTGTATGAACTCCATAAGAGAATGAAAAATAAAATATGGACCTCACACATTTTAATATATGTTAGGAATAAATCTTTAATGTAACCGATGAAGAGAATGAAAAATAAAATATGGACCCCACACATTTTAATATGTGTGTTAGGAATAAATATTTAATGTAACTAATGCACTGAAGATTCAATGCAATGCCATTCATTTTGTAATACATAGACAAAAAAATATGATATCATTTGGAAAAAATAAAAATTAAATGACAGCTGATCAGATGATGTGATTTTTTTGTCTATCTGTCACAAAATAAATAGCAGTTGAATTGAATCTTCAGTGTATCGGTTGCACTAAAAATTTATTTGTGCATAAAATATAAAATTATCTTCTATAATACGAGAAACATTAATTTTTTTTTAGATACGGTAAACTATGTCTCCTGTTATTCCCATTGTGTATGTGATTGAATCGGTGTTAAAAACTTTTGGTTACTAATTAATTAACAAATAGCAGCTAGGTTGGGTGCTGTGTTGTTTAAATTAACCACTGCCCTACATGGGCAACCATTGACAGCAATATCACGTGTATATATACGTGGTCTAAAAAGTCGTCAGGAATAGCTGCATGAAATGGAGATTTTGAATGCGAAAAGTCTTGAACTTTGATACGTTTCTGATAGAATTAATTTGCTCTAGCCTATATCCCCATTTGGGTTTTTTCTACTTTTTTTGTTTTGTTTTATTCTTCATCATTTTCATTCAAGATGTGAACAAGAAGTCCATTAATAAATACCCTTAAAAGTCTTTGGTGATATGTACTAAAGATGCCTATTATAAAGTAGTGGGACACACACAAATTGAATGTGGAGAGGTGTGGATTCTGAAGAGTGAAGACTACCCAATAGATAGGAACAAAGTAGGGTTTGCCCACGCATCTCTGTGTTGTCCTCATCTTAATTAGTCATATATATTTACTGGCAAAGTATTATATATTGTACTGCATCTTCATCGTTCTTCTTCTTTTTTTAAGATTTTTTTTTTGGTGAAAATCTAAAATGTGGATGCACCATGCACGAGGAAGGTCTGAATTCTTACCTAATTTTTCTTTGCTATATGCTTCTTTTATATATAAATAGTGCGTAAACTAAATGATATTTGAACTACATGTCAAGTTCGCATAAGTAATAGATCGAAAATGTTAATAATAAATCATTTTTATTTATCCCTCCTCAAAGTTTTGAATCATTTACTCGGAGTAAGTGATAAAAAAAATTTTAAATAAGGATATAAATGATTCAAAATTTTAAAAAATGAATAAATAATTCTAAAAAAAACTTACAAAGATTTTTGAAGTTTTCCCTTAAGAAAAATTACTATGTGAACAAGTAAAAAGACAAAGATATAATATAGCTTAAGATGACTTAATTAAGGAAAAATAAAATAACATTTTTAAGATTTTCAAGTAAAATTATTTCGAAATCAGATTTTGTTAGTGTCTTGATTCCGAAAACAGCTGTTTCCTGCCTTTGTTAGCTATTATCTGTCATTAATAACGACACAAAATTTAGAATTTTTCTTCATTTGCGAAAATGAAAAATTGATAGATAAATATTTTTCTAGCAAATGGTTACCTCAAATTTGAGTGTAATAAAATACTTGAACTTTACTCAAATGAGAGGTTAAGCAAAGAAAATTGGTTATAATTATTTATTTTATGTGATAAATTTGGTCTATTAACTCAAAGAAAAATAAATTACTCTAAAATAGTATACCCAAAGGGGAAAATAATAAAGAGTCAATATTACGAAACCAATAACTAATCATCTACATTTCTATCCATCAAACTCTTTTAATTCAAACCTAACATAATAAATTATTTCTTGAGTCCATGTACACGAAGTCACGCAAACAAATAGGCTATGTCCTTTACCAAAATAAAATAAAATAAATAGGATATGTCCTTAAATTGGCACTGTTTGTCTTCAAAGAAAAATTGGTTTGATACCAATTCTCTTGACAGAAGGTATAGTGGTACGGGTTAATTAAGTGAGTTAACTTAGTTCTTAAGAAAGAAGGTGAAATGCAGGAGTAGGGATTACATATGGTGGATGAAGTCTTAACTCAAAAGTGTATGATTTAAAAAACAGCGATTGCATATGAATTCTTTTTGATTATCTGTTTCTACCCTGGAGCAAGGAAGATTTATAATTTATGTTATTTTTTTCTGATAAATTAATCACCCCCCCCAAAAAAAAATAAAAATAAAAATTCATAGCTAGTTTCTTTTCCAACTTATTCCACCAAACTTTGTTTCTTTCGGCCCTAAAATCCCAAAACTTCAGTGAAAGGAAAAAGGTGTCGTGTTACATGGAATATACCGAATAAAATATTATTTATTATTTGAATTTGATGTTTATCCTTTTAAAGAACATAAATTATGTCATTTTTGAAGAGAGATAGATATAAGAAATGAAAATTATAAGAGAGAAAGTAAGTGATTTTTTTTATTTAATTTAAAAAATTTATTTTGTGTCTATTTCTCTCTTAAAATTACATAACTTTATGTCATTTAAAATGACAAACATTTTTTCCTTACAATTTTATATAGAAATACATTTTTCATATTGCATGAGATAAATATATATAAAAAAGTAAGTGAAACTCTTTAAGGAGAAGAGAAAGAGAAAAAATTAGATCCTATTAATTTTTTTATCTCATGCAATATGATAAATGTATTTTCCTATTTTACATTTGATAAAAATGTTTGTTTTTTTAAATTAAAAAATCTCTTACTTTCTCCTCCATATATAATTTTTATTGTATATTTTTTTCTCTTATTTCAAATGATATAATTTTATGTCCTTAAGGACAAACACCAATCCTTTTATATTTATATCTTTTATTATCTTATTATAATTATTTTTCTTATTTTTAATTGCATTTATTATTTAATTTTATTACATATTTATGATATCTACTCACAAAGTATGTACGAAGCATTATCTTAACTTGTTTCAACTTAGAGCTTCTCTGGTGTGGATTATAAATTTTAACATTAATTTTTGGGAATAAATCTACTTATATTAAATTTTTCCATAATAATTGAACACCACCTACATGAAGTGATGAAACAATAAAAAAATAAATACAAAAATAGTCATATAAATTTTTTAATCCGAGAGTATCAGTTCTTAACTTTTTCTAGCAAGACTGTCTTGTGTGTGTGTGTGTTTGTGTGTGAGTCTTGCTTTGATATGTTCTGTCAACTGAAAGAGGCCAGGCTAGCATCGAGGCCATGATTGATGTGGGGCCCAACATCCCCTCGTTCTGCTCTGTCAATCCACATGCACCCTCAAATCCCTGTGCCCCATTCACTCTCCAAACTTGTTATTATTATTATTATATTCTTCTTTCTTATTCCCTCACCCACCTTTCTCCTACTACCTCCACGTGTCATTCACATAAACCTCTCATTTCACTGCATAACATCCCCTCTCAACCCCACGTGTCAGTCATAGCTCAACATCAAGTCAAGCTTTATCATTTCTCCCTGTCATAATAAGTCCTGTGTTCTCCGCACTAATCAGCGTCCTACAAATGTAAACGGACAGTAACCTTAGTTGGACATTCGAGCACAACCCTAACATGCAGTCATTCGTGTTGCTTAGTAAATCTATGAGATGTAAAAAACACGCGCTATTCTCTTATGTTCCGCAGCCAGCATTTACGACGACAGATTCAAACGATTTTGTCGGCGGTGAGACGTTATTAATCATTTTCATTAACAGGAGAAATCACCAATTAATGCTGATTAATTTATTAATTTCTCTTTTCTAGTGTAGTGAGCTTTAATGTTTTTTTTCGCCCCTCATTATTCTCTTCCCCACTTAACCGTCCTTCAACTATATATATATATATATATATATATATATATATATATATATATATTTATATATATATTTATATTTATATATATTTTTTGGTAATCAACTATTTATATATTTAAATGAACGAGTTAACGTTTTTCATATTATAAGAAATTTTACTTTCTAGATGCTAAAAGAATATAAGACTTATACGAAAAAAAAAAAATATGACTCTCACATATTTTCATATGTATATAAAAGATAATTTTATTTCTTATAACATTAAAGATATTAAATTCTTAAATGAATATTAATCAATGGTTTACTTTTTTTTACGATCAATATAGATAAATTATCTACATTAAACTCAAAACGAAGTTATTTGGGACAGAAATCATGATATTTTTATAATAAATTTATTTTAGGGTTATAATAAATTTTTTTATTATAATTTTTTAATTTTTTCATTACGTCGTTTTGAGAATAAATATAGATAATTTATCTACATTCTCGCCATTAATCAATCTATTATTTTATGTATTAAAAAGCTGTCAATTTAGTGTACATGACTACATTCTCATTTCATATTACAAATAATTTCTTACGAAATATTACCATGTATGAAGGACCATTAATCTTCTCCTTTTCTGTCGTTTACATATGTAGTTTAATGCTTATAATAATACTCACAAAAACTGCATAAAGCTGCTTCAGTTCTCGTGGCTGGTTCTTCTTCCTCCTTTTCCTTTTCCTTCTCTCTCTCTCTCTCTCTCTCTCTCTCTCTCTCTCCCTCTCTCTCTCTGCAATTTCTTTTTAGTTACTTGTTTTTGCTTTGGCAATAGTGCCGGTTCTTGTCTCCCTTGGACTCTGACCTTGTTGCCAGCTTTGACTCAAGAAGATGCTTGTAAGTACGTCTCTCTGGTTCTCATTTTGTTCATGCTCTCTTTGTCCTTTGACCTTAGGCCTTCTTCCAAATCTGGGACTCCATTGCTCTGGGTTGATAACTAAGAAGGAATTCTCAAGTTTCAACCTTTGGTTGGTTTTTGATGTTCAAGTCAAAGTATGTTTGTTCCATTGATATGGGTCTTCTTCTATGTATGCGATTCTATTTGGGTCTGGTTTTGTTCCATTTATTAGCCATATGGCAATGGTAATTGCTCCGATGGTGGGGCTTCAATTGAATTCCATTCCATTTGATCTGATATACTTGCATTCTCGTTTCAGCTGGGAACTCTCTTTGAAAGTTCTTAGTCATCTGCAACGTATATCAGTCTCTTGAATCGATATTGAATCTCTTATAAGTCCTTCTCTACTGTTAAAAATTCATTGATTAGCGCGTGATGTTACATTCTGCGTTATGATTGAAAATGAGCATTGTTCTCTGGTTGTTGTTTTGTTTCATTGTTTTTGCTATGAATTCCTTTCACTTCTTTTCTATTCAGCTGCAGTGGTTGCTCATTCTTATTTCAGAAATGCTTTTAAGCTCAATATGAAGTGAATTGTTTGCTGAGTGAAGAAGTAATTTATCTCTATTTATTGAATGATGCGTGGCCTTCTTTCTCACTCTCTCGCTCTTCAAGTCTTATTAATCTGGGATATATATAGTCCTGTGATTAATATTTGTATTTGTATGATATCTTATGAGAATCAATTAATGAGTTGAATTTTGATTTTTTTCTACCCTCTTTCAGGTGGCATTGCTCTTGCTGCTGGCAGTGAGCAATGCCGTGAGAGTTGATGGAGATGGTTGGCAATGTGGTTTGAATCCAACGCTAGACCCAAGACCACACAGTGTCTCCATTTTGGAGTTTGGTGCAGTTGGAGATGGTAAAACACTGAATACTATTGCGTTCCAGAATGCCATATTCTATCTAAAGTCATTTGCTGACAAGGGCGGCGCTCAGCTGTACGTACCGTCGGGAAAATGGCTGACCGGAAGTTTCAATCTTACCAGCCATCTCACCCTCTTTTTGGAAAAAGGTGCCATAATTATTGGATCTCAGGTATTTTAATCTAGCTTTTGATTGCTCTTGTATATAGTAGTAGTTCATGTTCTAATCTGTGGGTTTTTTCTTAGGCTTTACTTGACATTCTTCTTTGTATAGGATCCATCTCATTGGGAAGTTGTTGAACCCTTACCTTCTTATGGCCGAGGGCTTGAAGTTCCTGGGGGAAGATATCAGAGCTTGATAAATGGATACAAGTTAAATGATGTGGTCATAACAGGTTTTCTCTGCTCCCAAGCTTTTGTTTCTTTGCACCAAGCCTTTCATGCATCTGTTTCTGCATTGAACTTTCTTATCTTTATGTACTTTGCCAGGTAACAATGGAACCATTGATGGCATGGGAATGGTTTGGTGGGAGTGGTTTAACTCCCATTCCCTGAACTACAGCCGTCCTAATCTGGTTGAACTTGTAGCATCTGATTATGTTGTAGTTTCAAATCTCACATTCTTGAATTCCCCTGCATATTGCATCCATCCAGTTTATTGCAGGTAAATGTTCTGTGCTTCTACTAGACATTAAATGAAATACTACTTATTTGCCATATCATATTGATTTCATTATACGTAACATGATGCAGCAATGTACATATTCAAAATGTTTCAATCTCTACTCCTCCAGAATCCCCTTATACTGTTGGTATAGTACCAGGTTTGTAAAATTATGGACTCTACCTTAATGACATTGCCTCTCAAATATCAATAGGTTACAAAACTCTGGTTAGGGTCACTTAGCTAACGTTTGTTCACTTCAATGTTTTCAGATTCTTCTGATAATGTTTGTATAGAAGATTGTATCGTTGTCATGGGATATGATGCAATTTCCCTTAAAAGTGGCTGGGATGAATATGGCATTGCTTATGGCAGGCCCACCGAGAATGTACATATAAGAAGGGTGCATCTTAGCGCAATTTCTGGCTCTACTCTTGCATTTGGAAGTGACATGTCTGGTGGCATTTCAAATGTTCTGGTGGAGCATGTTCATCTTTTCAACTCAAATAGTGGCATCGAGTTCAGAACCACCAAAGGTAGAGGTGGTTATATGAAAGAAATTGTCATATCAGACATACAAATGGAGAATATATATACGGCAATTGCTGCCAAAGGTCAATGTGGGTCTCATCCTGATGACAAATTTGATCCAAATGCTCTCCCACTTTTGGATCACATTACCGTGAAGGATGTTACTGGCAGTAATATCACCATAGCTGGAAGCTTTAATGGAATAGAAGAATCCCCTTTCACTAACATATGCCTTTCAAATATAACCTTGTCTACAAATTCTGTTTCTGCCATTACCTGGGAATGCTCAAATGTCTATGGATTTTCAGAATCTGTGCTCCCTGAACCCTGTCCAGACCTTGAAAACCCCTCAAATTCCTCCTCATCCTGTTTCTACCTGCTGAATATCAGTGCAAAAACTGCTGTGCTGTGAGATAATCCTTTCTCAACTGAAGATTCATATTCTTGAGGACTCTGCTTGATGTCTGTGAAAAAGTGAATGGTCATTTGCCATCTAAGATTAGGCCACATTCTTTCCAATAAGACGATTGTTCGGATTATTTATTTTTTGTTTTCATCCCTTAGATTTGCATTCTTGCATGTTCCAACAGCTCATATTATTTGTACAGTTTCATTTCTTCATTCATGTATAAGGAAATTTTTGTTAGTACCGCCACAGGAGGACTCAAAATTTATTAGTTTTGCTTTAGTACCATTGTGATTTCACTGTAAAGCATGTAGAGTGGGTTTGGTGATACTTCAATTAAAGAAACTTCTACTTTGAGTTATAATTATCCATGTCTTGACAGTGATGTTATACCTACAATCTTAAATCACAATTTAAGACTATATAGATATATGTACATAATATATATTGTTATAATGATATAGATGTCCTAAAATCTCTCAATCCATAACTAGATAAATTATATTTTTTCTGCTCTAATATGTAGATAAACAAATCTGTCTCGATTCAATTGTAGCAGTTAAGTGTTTATGACACCTTTAATGTGTTGTGGAATTTGAAGACATTAGAGTTAACTTTCTAATGTGAAGGTCAACAAAAGCGACATGACATCAACATAATGAATTGGGTGGCTTGCCAGTTTGCCAGCTAACGTAAATATATCATATCATGTGGAAAGCACATTACCTCGTCTTCCTCATTCTTGTGCCTCCAAACTTACCAAAACCGGATACTGAGGGCACCTTTCCATTTTTTCTATTTTGAGACCTCAGTTGTTGCTTTCATCCTTGTTGATATCTTAACCGCAATGGATTTGAAACTGTCCATAATTTTCTATAGCAGAAATAGATCATGTTGGTAGAGAGAATTTTCTTTTTAAAAATATAACTAGTTAATTTTATAACCAGTCGTGTTGAATCTTTACATGAGAAAAAAACCCCCAAAGAATGCAAATCTCGGTGCAATTGGGTGTAATTTTCTGTTTTTTCTATATTGGGCATTATCAAGGACATAGTGTTGGACTGTTGGGCCAAGGTTTGTGAATATAATTTCAGTGATCCACGACTAACTGGTAACTGCTGTGATACCAATTTCATAATTTGATTTTTTTCCTTTTTTGTTTGTAAGAAGAGTTATATTGACAATTTTTTTTTACAAACTTACAAATTATATTATGTTTTACCGGTAAACTTCATTCAAGAGTGTCTTACCGGTAAGACATAGTATAATTTGTAAGAATTTGTAGATAAAAAATTTGTAAATATAATCTTCTCCTTTCTTTATTGTTAAAATATATTTTCTTACACTCATTTTTAATTTTGTTTTCATATGTGTTCTTATTTTTAATTCCTATTGGTATAATTATTTTTAATATTATCCATACTTTTTGTTGTTATAATATTATTAGATTGACATGAAGTTATTTTCAAATATAAAAGTTAAATTAAAAATTAGGATCGTACTACGAGTAATATATAATTATAAAGGGTAGTTATAGATAACCTTATTTAAAGTGACTGTAGAAATATTTTTTCTATATATATATATATATATATATATATATATATATATATATGTAGGGATCGAGAGGTTATACTTACTACCTCTTTTTCTTACTATATCTTACTATAAAATCTTAACCGTTGATTTTTGCCAATCTTACAGTTATAATTTATTGAAAATTTATAATTAATTAATAAGTATGACCCAATAAATTACAACCGTTAGATTGACGGAAATCAACTGTTAAGATTTAGTAGTAAGAGGCAGTAAGAAAAAGAGATAGTAACTATAACCTCCCCATATATATGTAAATAAAAATAAAAATAAAAATAAATAACGTGTAAAGATTGAAAACATATTTTAACTCTTTATTAATCTGAATTCGTGCTTTTATAGGTTAACTTGTTGCATATGCTCTACAAGTAAGGGTGCATGTATGGAACTTGAATTTGAGCCATTAATTTTGTAATAAAAGGCACCAATGGGTGAAAACAATAACTAAGAACCTGCTGAGCAGGTAAATGGATAAGATTAATAAATAATAAAGTTGGTAGCAGAAGAAACAATAATTGCAAAGTTGCCCCACCTCAGCTCTGTAACTTGTATTCATAATATTGTTGCCATATAGGTACTTCCTTTCTCATATGAAGAAACTTTGATGTTAACCTGATTTGTTAAAAATGTTACAGCCACTAAATTATATAATTTTTCTGGTAAATAAACATTGATTAATATAGTCCAAGCATAATCTGCTTTCATGCACTGGTTATATCAATTTAGCTTCTAGGCAGCTCAAGTGGAAATGTAACTACTGATGTTAATTTTTCAAAAAAAGGAAACTGTTGTTGAGTGTGTCTCTTTGTATTCTTCAATTGGTTTGCTATATAATAGCACCAATGTTGTGTAGTTTAATATAACAAGGATTACAATGAATACCTCTTGTCTCTTGGTAATTAACATGGTATCTAGAGCCTAACAAGAGGAATCCTAATCCGCGGTTTTTCGGTGGACCACTGTCCGCTGAGTAATATTTTTTTTTTCCGGAAATCGTCACATCTGTCAGTTTCCGGCTTGCCTATTTTGTTTCTGACCTTGTCTGAGTACTGCCGCTGTCCAGAACCACCGTTGACCGCCGCCTCCGCCGTTGACCACTGTTGACCGCCATTGACCATCGTCTCCGGCGACTTTTCCGGCGATTTTTCCGGTGAAACTCCCATCGATCTGACCGCCACAACAAGGCGGTCCTGTCTATCCAACACCCATCTCCAACACCTCAGCCACGCGCCCACACGCGCGGGAGGAAGCTTCTGCCGTCTGCTTCATTTCAGCGGCGCGTGCAGCTCCGGCTGGACCTCCGACCACCACGGTTCAACTCGTCTTCTCCTTGCGCACCTGGATCTGTCCTCACTTTGTTGTTCTGACTTCGTTTCGGCTTCCGACAGTGTCTCTTTCTCTTGCTGGTCCCTATTCACGCGTGTTTCTTTGCTTTTGGTTACTGTTCGCTTTTGTTTCAGGTGATCTATGGCTGATTTATCACCCCACGATGCATCCAAGGGTTCTCCAAAGGCTGACCCGCCTGTTTTTCTAATTATGTTAATGTTCCGCTGCACGTCGACAAGTTGGATGGCTCCAATTATGATTCTTGGGCTTCTGATCTCCGACTTTGGCTTGATGGACAGGACTACACTGACCATCTCATTACTAAGGCTGAGTCCATCTCGGTAGATGTACGCCCTCATTGGAAAAAGGTTGATGCTCAGTTATGTAGCATCATCAAGTCTACCATCCACTCGTCCTTGAAGCAGATTTTTCATGCTCACGTCACTTGTGAGTCTGTTTGGCGTCAGGCCAAGTCACTTTATACCAATGACACTCAGCGACTCTATGGGGTTTGTCAAAATTTGATCACTACTATTGCTGCTCAACAACTTGATGTCTCTATGTCTGCTTACTTGGGAAAAGTTCAGGGCCTCATTCATAATTTCAATGAACTGTTGCCGCCTGCTGCAGATCCTGCTAAAGAACTTGAGCAACACAGCACGTTCTTCATGCTCATGGCTCTTTATGGTTTGCCCCCGGCATATTCTGTCAACCGGGATCAGATCTTGGGCTTTACTACTGTTCCATCGTTGGACTCTGTTTGGTCTACGTTGCTTCGCATTCCACCTAAGACTTCTATGGAGCCTGCAGTATCTGCTCCCTCTTTAATTGACCCATCTGCCCTTGTCTCCAAGGGTTTTGCACGTGGACACAAACCCTCTACGAGACGCTTTCTCTGCACTCATTGCAAAAAGCCGGGCCATACTATTGATCATTGCTGGGATCTTCACGGTCGCCCTCCTCGCTCCGCTCATTTTTCTCATACTACTGTTCCTGCCTCGGACTCTGCCTTGATTGCTGGATCACAGCCACCTCCTGGTACCACTGCCTCTAGTGCACACACAGGTAATTCCTTTGCTGGTGTTTCTCACTCGCCCTCTCTTGGTCCATGGATTCTCGATTCTGGTGCATCTGACCATATTTCTGGTAATAAGTCTTTATTTACCTCTCTCTGTACGTCTGGTCCCCTGCCCAGTATCACTATGGCTAATGGGTCATTGGTTCAGTCCCAAGGGATTGACATTGTTCTCCTTTTTCCTTCTATTCTCATTGAGAATGTGCTTTATGTTCCTCATTCTCCTTTCAACCTTATTTCCATTAGTCGCTTGACTCAATCCCTTGACTGTATTATTTCTTTCACTAAAGAGTCTGTCATTTTGCAGGATCGGAGCTCGAGGAGGACACTTGGCGTCGGATCTGAGTCCAATGGCCTTTATCAGCTTTCAACTTCTGTTCTGGTGTGCTCTGTTGTGGATTCTACGCTTACTATCCACGCTCAGTTGGGTCATCCAAATCTTGCTAAGCTCCAGAAGATGGTCCCACGTTTCTCAAATTTATCTAGTTTGTCTTGTGAGTCGTGTCAGTTAGGGAAGCACACTCGTAGTTCGTTTCCCGATCATGTCAGTCGTCGGTCTTCGTCTCCTTTTGCTTTAGTTCATTCAGATATTTGGGGTCCTAGTCGTATCGTTTCCACTATGGGGTACAGATATTTTGTAACTTTCATTGATGATTATTCTCGATGTACTTGGTTATTTTTAATGAAAAATCGGTCTGAATTGTTTTCTATTTTTAACAAGTTCTTTAATGAAATCCTTACTCAATTTGGTGTTTCGATTCACATTTTTCGAAGTGATAATGCTCTTGAATATTTGTCTCATCAGTTTCAAACCTTCTTTGCATCTCACGACATCCTTCACCAGACATCATGTTCACACACCCCTCAACAGAATGGGGTTGCTGAACGCAAGAACCGTCACCTAATTGAGACTACTCGGACACTTTTGTTACATGGTCATATCCCATTCCAGTATTGGGGCGATGTTGTCCTCACAGCTTGTTATCTCATTAATCGGATGTCTTCCTCCGTACTTCATAATCAGGTACCACATTCTGTGTTGTTTCCCCATCAACCTTTGTACCCACTCACTCCTCACATCTTTGGTTCTACTTGTTTTGTCCACAATCTCAGTCCTGGTCTTGACAAGTTATCTGCTAAGTCACATAAATGTATTTTCCTGGGTTACCCTCGCTCACAAAAGGGTTATCGTTGTTATTCTCCTAGTCTTCGTCGTTACTTTGTCTCGGCGGATGTTACATTCTTTGAGTCTATTCCATTCTTTGACTCCTCCTCCCATCCCAGTGATTCTATTGCTACTCAGCTACCTTTACCACCTGTTTCAGTTCACTATATACCTTCACCATCTCCTTCTTTAGATGTCCCCGTCCCCTGTTCCCCCCTCCAGGTCTATCATCGTCGGCAACGTCCCCCTGTTCCCCAGGACCCTGCCCCCCGAGTCTGCCCCTATTGTTACTGAGGCTCATGTGGACTCACTTCCGTCATCATCTCCTCCGGCAGCTCCGATCCTTACGTCTAACATTGATGTGCCCATTGCACTCTGGAAAGGCACTCGTGATTCTCGTCCCCCTCCCAGGTATTTAATAAATTTGAGTTATCATCGTCTTTCACCATCCCATTTTGCTTGCCTCTCTTCTCTTTCTTCTGTATCTGTTCCTAAGACTACAGGTGAGGCGTTATCACATTCTGGTTGGCGACAGGCCATGATTGATGAGATGAGTGCACTTCAGAGTAGTGGTACCTGGGATCTGGTTCCCCTTCCCTCTGGGAAGTCTGTTGTTGGCTGTCGATGGATATACACAGTTAAAGTTGGTCCGGATGGTCAGGGATCGTCTTAAGGCCCGCTTGGTGGCTAAAGGTTATACTCAGATATTTGGCCTTGACTATGGTGACACATTTTCTCCCGTGGCGAAAATGACTTCTGTTCGCCTCTTTATTACTATGGCAGCCATTCATCACTAGCCTATGTATCAGCTGGACATAAAGAATGCTTTCATCCATGGTGATCTGCGGGAAGAGGTTTATATGGAGCAACCTCCTGAGTTTGTTGCTCAGGGGGAGTTTAACCTAGTTTGTCGTCTCCGAAGATCCTTGTATGGTCTAAAGCAGTCTCCCCGGGCTTGGTTTGGAAGGTTTAGCACTGTTGTACAACAGTTTGGCATGACTCGAAGTGGGGCTGATCACTCAGTCTTTTACAGACACTCTGATTCAGGTTCTATTTATTTGGTAGTATATGTTGATGATATCGTCATTACAGGTAATGATACTCATGGCATAACTCAGATAAAACAACATTTGTGCCATCATTTTCAAACAAAGGACCTTGGAAGACTCCGATATTTCTTAGGGATAGAAGTGGCCCAATCCAAAGATGGCATTGTACTATCACAGAGAAAATATGCTATGGATATTCTTGAGGAAACAGCATTGTTAAACGCTAAGCCCATTGATACTCCTATGGATCCAAATGTCAAGCTTTTACCAAATCAGGGGGAGCTATTTTCTGATCCAGAAAGGTATAGAAGATTGGTTGGGAAACTGAACTATCTCACAGTTACTCGACCAGACATTTCCTTTGCAGTCAGTGTAGTAAGTAAGTTCTTGAATTCTCCCTGTGAAGATCACTGGAATGCAGTAATCCGTATCCTCAAGTACATCAAGACTGCTCCTGGCAAAGGTCTTCTCTATGAAAACAAAGGTCATACCAGAGTTGTAGGATACTCAGATGCTAATTGGGCAGGTTCTCCTATTGATAGAAGATCCACTTCTGGGTATTGTGTATTCGTTGGAGATAACTTGATTTCCTGGAGAAGTAAGAAGCAAAGTGTAGTTGCTAGATCAAGTGCTGAAGCAGAATATCGCTCCATGGCCACAACTACCTGTGAACTCATCTGGTTAAAACAGCTACTGAAGGAACTCAAGTTTGGAGACACTGGCCCAACATCTCTCATTTGTGATAATCAAGCTGCTTTGCATATTGCTTCAAATCCAGTGTTTCATGAAAGGACTAAGCACATTGAGATAGATTGTCATTTCCTTAGGGAAAAGGTTCTCTCAGGAGATATAGTCACTCGTTTTGTCAACTCAAATGATCAATTAGCTGATGTATTTACTAAGTCTTTGAGAGGACCTAGGATAGACCAGATATGTAACAAGCTTGGTGCATACGATCTATATGCACCAGCTTGAGGGGGAGTGTTGTTGTACATAATATAGAAGTCCCACATTGAGTGTGTCTCTTTGTATTCTTAAATTGGTTTGCTATATAATAGCACCAATGTTGTGTAGTTTAATATAACAAGGATTACAATAAATACCTCTTGTCTCTTGGTAATTAACAGAAACCATGCAATTACTGGAGTCAATATTATAGTGAATATAAAAGCTTACGTTATGTTTTATGAAATACCAAGCAGTATGGTATTCTGGCACCCCAAAAAATAAGAATCTAATTCTTGCTTTTCCATTCTCATGCACCCATTTTTTCCCCCCATTTTCTGGCTTCATATTCTGTTGTTTTACTACTTTTCCATGAACTAGCTCATCAAGATTCAAGACATGTTGTGAAAGCACAATTGTTCTTCTAGACAATCCTGCATGCATTTGGATTTTCATCGCTAAGCATGGATGTGATGTTTCCATTGCTATTGTGGTAATCTGCACTATAGTATTCCATACGATTGTAATGTGTGTGCCTTGGTGGTGACCTGACATATTCATATTCTGTGACATAAGGTGATGGCCTATATGTATTATAGCTGTGTGTCACATATGCTGGTTGAGGTGGCTCTTGTAGTAATGCTGGGCTATTGTGGTATCTATCCCAGTGTCCAACATAGCTATGGCCAGAACCAACTCTATTTCCATAGTCAGGTGGATGGTGGTGTACCACATGAACCTCTCCTACATCCTTTGTTACTGGGGTGTTTTGTGATTGCTGTCTAGTATTATTCTCTGCAGGTGTTGCTGTTGGTGATAGTGTTGCCTCATGTGGTGGCTGTTCAGGCTGTGGTATGTCTTTTGGGGGTTTCTCTGGGGACCCTTCTTGAGCTGGTGGAAATTCTGCTTCTTGTGGTTGTGTTGCTTTAAGGGCTTGTGCATTTTCTTCAGGTTCTGGTTCTGTTTGTTGAGGTGATGGTTCTGCTGGTTGAGATGGAGATTCAGTTGGTTCAATATTGCAAATGGTGGCCATCTTCCTTGTCTTCTTAATTGCTTTCACAATTTTTTCTGGATCTGCCCACCCAATAATTGTTATTTTTTGTTGGGGGAAATCAATATAGAGATCACATATACCTGCAGGAGGTGAAAGTTTATCAAAGGGTTATAAGGAGATAGGGAATTCATGCATGTTGCAGAATAAATTGGTAGGAAAATTATGTGACATGCTTACCATTAATGCCGTTGAGTGCTTTCTTGATCTTCTGCACACATCCGTTACAGTCCATTCGGGCATGTATCTCTGTGACTCGAGGTTTCTGCATTTGATATGGGTTAGTCACTCTTAGAAAGAACCATTGCAATTTATGCTTAAATTGATAATAGACATAATTGCATAGACATGTTAATTAGTATACATGCATGGATTTTGGTTCCGTACCTGGAACTCTGGAACCATGGAGCTGAATTAGAGAATATGTAATTTTCAATGAAAGCAGTAGATTATGGCTGTTAAGAATATGTGACAAGCATATATTTGTACATGGGCAGGGAATATGTAAAAGGCAAAATATGTGGGACATGCAAGGAATCTCTTTTTGGCAGGGGAGAGAGAGATTGGTCCCTCTAAGTCATTGCCTAAACTTAGAATATTAGAAGTGGAAGAGAGAGGGATGAGTTCAGGGAAGAGGGTAGGAGTTCTTTATGAGTATTGTAATGCTGAGCCAAAGGGAATTTGCTTTATGATGGACGGCCTCTTTGGCCACGTATAAAGTGGAAGATTCGTGAGAGGTTAGGATGGATGTTCAAACCGACCCCCTCCTATTTGAAGGGTATGGTAGGCGATAGAACATTAGCAATTCATGGTACCTTAGTCAAAAAGACCAAAGTAGCTTTTTTCCTTGAAAAAGGGTATCCACTCCCAAGGAATCCTTTTATCACAAGAAAGATATCCATGATGAGTTTATAAAATGACAATTTTTTATTTACAGGAAAAAAAAAAACACTATGATTTGTGTTTTAGATTTTGTATGTCTCGCTAGCTTATTTGGAAGGCAAACAGATTTTCTTGAACAAGCTTCTATTGATGAAGTCAGGAATGGTTTGTGGGTTAATTTTTTCTATAGTTATTTTAGATAAGTTATTTGCGGCGCATAATTTTAATTATATTTTATCGATAAAATATAATTATAATAATAAAATTATTTTTTTATCTGTCTCCTCAGACATTATCGGCTAACATGATAGAATTTTTTTTTTTTTACCATTATAACTATATTTTACTGATAAAATATAATTAAAATCGTAGCCTGCAAAATTTTTTTTATCTAAAATAACTCTAGAAACTTTTTTCTCAGTGTTTTATTAGTTGATGACAAATATTTCAATGTGCCTATATACATGTTTTTTGAAGTTTGTTCCCAGAAAAACAGTTATTCAGGTTGAATTTTGTATCTTAAGTCCAGCAACATGGGGCTACCTCCAAACTAACCTCAAATTTTATCTCGAATTCAACAAATAATAAATGGGAAGGAGCAAATTTTCTCACCGAAGTCCAGCAACAAAAATCATAACTTTCAACGCAAATTCATCAAGCTTAAGTTTAAAAGAAGATGAAATAGGCATGAACTAAAACACAACAACGCAAATTCAAGCTTAAGTTCAAAAAAAGATGAAATGGGCATATGCAAAATAACAACTTTAATTTTTTAACTCAAACCCGTTAAGCGTAACGAGCAAAAATCATAAACTTAACTCCAATTATAGCTCAAAATCAAAAAATAATAAGTGGGCATGAGCAAATATGCTCACAAACCCAGGAAGCACAACGAGCAAAAAAATCACACAACTTTAACTCAAATTCGAGCTCAATTTCTTTTAAAGGATATGATAGAAATTTTCTCACCCGAATCCGGTGAAGCCTCAATCGTAGCCTGACAAAGTGTGCACATAATTATCTCTTTTTTGTAGGGATCAGTTTGCAATATTGGAAAAAAATTAATATACAACCGTTACACTGAGTATTCAATGAAACTGTCATATTATAACTATATATTTTAGGAAATATATAATTAAAATATTAAAATTATTTTTTTTCTCTTAAAAATTGCCGACTGATGTAAAGAAAAAGAAAAAAAATAATTTTAATATTTTAACTATATATTTTTCAGAATACATACTTATAATAGACAATTGCACCATTTGCACCCAATGGTTGCAGTAAAAATGCTCTCGCAATATTTCACTTCGTCAAGGAACCTATTTATATATGTCCTTCAATCCTAGCCATTCATCTCAATTTTCACAAATGGCTTGAAAAACAAGGACCATCGGTGCACCATCAATACCTGAAATCTCAAGGGACGAGAAGTCTTTGATTTTCTTATACTTGGATCAAATGTGCAAAATTTTGTTGTCTAAAATTAGTTATTGTAATAGAATATTTATTTTTTTCTTTTAATGGACTTGGACAATTCCTGAATGTAACATGTAAAAGTTTGAAGATTCTATCTAAAGTAATAAAATACAGAATCCTAGTAATATATTGTGGGAGTCCATGAGTGAAAAAGTGTTATGATTCTTATTCACCGGATTTCCTCTTAACTTGTTTGAATCTGTTACTGGTTTTTCTTAGGATTAGTATTCTTTGTGAATCACGCAACTCCATAATGCTTTTCCTTGCAATGGTTTAATCAACTTTCTGCCAAAATGTATAGATTCCCTAAGTTGCTTGATGCTCATGGGTTTTTTGGTTAAGCCATTCAACTTGGTAGAATTTGCGGGGAATAGAAAATCATTAGAGTACCACTTGGTTTGATTCTATGAAAAAGTTTTGCTGGGAATGTCAACTGCAGATTCGCCTAATATTTTTTGGAGTTTGGTGTAACGCCTGGCAACTTGCAAGGATTAACGACTGTCTCCACACACTAACACGAGACTTTTTAGCGTGCTTTGTCCTCATTCGCACACTTCTCGGGAAAACTTCTCAGGAGGTCACCCATCCCAGAATTGCTCCAAGTCAAGCACGCTTAACTGTGGAGTTCTTCTGATCCGGGCTACCGAAAAGTAGATGCATCTTGTTAGTATAGGTAGTACCAATTAATTCTTATAAGTCATTCCCAACTGTACTGTCCCATACCAGCACAGTCTCTGGAATCCCTCTATTTCGGGTGTTGATTCGATTCATTCATGTACCCCGTCGCTGGAAGCTGGAAGCCTGCCAGGAGCCGCTCCTTGTCCGTGCCCTTGCGCACCGGCGATCACTCTCCGCCCTCGTCAGCGCCCGGGATGTTACATTTGATAGGACTAATTACCTTCTTTATATTCTTTGATTATGTCCGCATTCTATGTTATTTGGCGATTAGTTATAGCACCTAACCTCTTTATGCCTTTCTCATAGTCACATAGAGTCAATCTTTAATTCTATACCTTCAGCATAGAAGAATTCTCATGAACCATAAAGCTTTGAGGGTGGGCCAAGTTACCATCACCCCCCTCCTTTTTGGGTCAAAAAATTGTGCACTTCTGTAAAGAGCAATAAATAGAATAATAAATGACAAATCGCTCAACTTCATCATGAGGAATACACAAGCCGGCTATGCATGTCTTTCATTGCCATGCTTTTGTCTGATTATTGTTGCAAGGCATCTAAAATCCAAAATTACAAAAAATGATTAAAAAAATCTCAAATGCAGACAAATTTATCTTTGGTGGTCTCCACTCTCCAATCCAGCTATGAAGCAGAAGAAAATTTAATAATCATTAAATTTATCCCCATCTTTTATGTAACGCCTGGCAACTTGCAAGGATCAACGATTGTCCCCACACACTAACACGAGACTTTTCAGCGTGCTTTGTCCTCACTCGGACACTTCCCGGGAGAACTTCTCAGGAGGTCACCCATCCCTGAATTGCTTCAAGTCAAGCACGCTTAACTGTGGAGTTCTTCGATCCGGGCAAACGAAAAGTAGATGCATCTTGTTAGTATAGGTAGTACTAATTAATTCTTATAAGCTATTCCAAACTGTGCAGTCTCACACCTGCACAGTCTTTGGAATCCCTCTCTTTCGGGTGTCGATTCGATTCATTCATGCATGTAACCCCACGCTGGAAGCCTGTCAGGTATAATGACCCTATATGGAAAATCTTAATTAGAGATTTAATTTAAGGATTTAAATGCCATAATTAGATTCAATGAGTGATTTCGAGTATTTTGACTGTAATCATGACTATGTTATGAACAGTGCGTTCTGTCAGAGAATTCGCAGTCTTGTGAATTAACCGGTAGAGCTTAAATAAGAAAAAATGATTTTAGAGAAATAATTTGACAATTCTGACTCCATATATGAGTTCAGAATGAAAAATTGTATAGTCTGGCACTTTCCGTGAAAATCTCGTGAATAGTATTTCTACCGGGTATTTTGTACCGTTGTTTAAGCAACCGGTAGAGTCCAGAAACAAATAATTGATGACGTAAGAATAAGAAAGTCCAATATATGCCAAGCAAGTCAATATAGGCCCAAGAAAATGATAAGTTTATAAGTGTTAAGTTTCAGAAATAAATAAAGTACAGTTAATGGTTCACAATGCATTTCGTTAAAAACGGGCAAAAACCATACTGTGAATTATAAATATTGTTCCTTAGAAAATAAAAGTAATGTAAATGACTTTAGAAAAATAAAAATATATTTGTAGCTTTGAGTAGTTCCGGGTTAGTTTAAGTGAAAATACGCGAAAGAAAAATATCCGGGTAAAAGCCACATATGCTATAAAACATAAGTGACTTATGGGATCACTATTCACTCAAAGAAAAACATTCTTTTCTCTCTCCTTGGGGCCGAGCAGCAGCTATGGAAAGGGGGCAAGGGTTTTGGTTTTTGCTTCTTTGATTTCTCCTCCAATATTCCACCAAATCTTTCACCCAATATACCAATCTCATAGGAAATCATCCAAGGAAGCTATTCCACCCCTCCATTTGAGCTGATTTCGTTTGTGGAGGGTATAATGACCCTAAATGGTAAATCTTAATTAGAGATTTAATTTAAGGATTTAAATGCCATAATTAGATTCAGTGAGTGATTCCGAGTATTTTGACTGTAATCATGACTATGTTATGAACAGTGCGTTCTGTCGGAGAATTCGCAGTCTCGTGAATTAACCGGTAGAGCTTAAAGAAGCAAAATTATTTTAGAGACATAATTTGACAATTCTGACGACAAATATGAGTTCAGAATGAAAAATTGTATAGTCTGGCACTTTCCGTGAAAATCTCGTGAATAGTGTTTCTACCGGGTATTTGTTGAGAGCTGGGTGAGTTTTCCCTCCTCCCAAATCTGAGTTACTATTCATCCCAAGGAAAAAAAAGTGGAGCTTCCATGGAGTTTTGCTTGAGAGAGGTCTCCTAGGCTTTGGGTAGTTGCTTTAAGGTAACAAAACTCTAACCCTATGACTTAGTCTTGTGATTTATGTTGTGAAAAATA